TGATACATTTTAAATTTTCTTAAAAGTTACATGCTTGTTCTTGTTTTGTGATTCCTTCTCCAATGTCAGGTTTAATTGTAGTGTTACGCTAAAGGCAGCGTTTCCAATAATCCTTGTCCTCTTTAATGGGGCAAAAGGTTTGGGACATCGGGTTGTTGGATGAGTTACTCCTCTTCTGTCCTTTTGGTCTCACCCTACCCTTACATTCCCTTCAGATTCCGGGTGTCCAGTTGCCTGGTTATTTCTGCACAGAGCCCCCTCTGAAATGACCCCCACACACATACGCTGAGCTCCATGGTGCTGTGGAGCAGCCGCCTTCTGTCAGACATCAAAAATAGCATGGGGGGGCAGGGGGTCGGGCTGACTACACACCCCAGTGGAGGGTCYAGAGGAGTCATGTGGACAAGTTTGACACAGACACAGATAGCAGAGAGGAGTGGAGATCCAGTAACCCAACATAAAGCAGCTGGACTGAGTGAGAACCCGTCTAACTCAGAGGATCCAAAACAACACTTAAAGGACCGTCTGCCTTCACTTGTCACATGAACTTGCTGTAATTGAAGGGCCAAGGCAAACCTAAAGTGGGAACCCAGCAGTTGATTCTGGACCATGAAGCTGAGCGTGGCATTGTTTTTTGCAGGGCTCTTTGGGGCTTTGGCAGCTGTGCTCATTCTGCTTTCTTTTGGAACGGATTACTGGCTGCTGGCCTTGGAGACTTGCCATCCTGACAGCTCGGATAAAGAGGTGGGTGTYGGACCTAAAACAGCACCAGGTCCACAAGATTAGACAGGATGTGTCTTTCTAGTTAGAATATTTATGACGTGGTAATAAATGTTCACATTTCACTTAAAGTAAAAAGAGCTTTSAGATAAGAATTAGTCTCAGTTGATTTGTATATTGTAAAGTTGAAACATGAAATGCTATTACARAGTCTGAGCACCTACAATTCAATTAAATGTGTCTTTTTGGAAGCATAATCAGCTGCTTCCATTACTCATTCAAGTACAGGGTGGAGAGGTGTCCCTGTGGAACTGCTTCATGTAATTGGACTCTGTTTAATGTAGTGCGTGGAGCTATGCAGTTATTGAAGCACAGCAAAATATACCTCTAGGACAGTGATACAAATACCARCAATCCCAAAGGTATGATGCCCTATTAGATATCACCGACTAGGACATACTTAACTTTCCAGAGTGGGCATYGAAACTGACTCTGGGATAGGATAGCAGGACAATATAAACACAGGTACCAGGGATTTGCACTACATTGTGATGTAATATAGGTTTGGACTAATCACTTGTAAACATAGCATCAGAATCAAATGATGCATTCAGGTTTTCCAGACTTTGTTAAAACATTCCCTGAATAATCCAAACTTTTGTAGTGGTGTTCCGTGGCATTGTTTTCAGTAATCAGTATCTAACCTGCAGTAGACGCTTCTCAGATTGTTTTCAGTGGAAACAAGCTAAGAGCTGAAGACTAAAGCAGATATCTGCTCTCAGAACCTACCGGTAGTTGTTCATCCATTCATGTTCTGGGGARCTGGTTCTGCTCTCCAGTGGTCACAGAGCAAGAAGCAGGGTAAACCCTTAACAGACAGAGCTACTCATGCAAAGCCTGTTTTATAAACTTTTAAATCACCATTATTTCTGCTTTGGACAGTTGTTTTCTATAAAAGTTTGTGATTATTGAAAACAGAACAGACTGCARTCTTCATCAGTAATGGTCCATGTGACTTACAGCATGGTGTAAAACAGAAAGTGTTTTGTATTCTGGCAGAAACGCTGATGCAAAAATAACAGCTAAAAATATCTAAATTTACAGCATTGCAAGTGAAAGCTCTTTGATTTACACATATTTTAATTTAGACAGTTACAAATTCAATTACACACAAACCATTGCTGGTAACAAAATGCAATGCAAATTTTTTGGGTGGGGGCGGGGGGGGGGGGGACAAGACCTGATGGATAGCCCC